GGGATCCTGCCCATCAGTTCCCTGAGGGAGTCAAAGTCTGCTTTTCTGAAGTCCAGGGTCCGTATTCTGCTGCTTTCCTTTCTTCCTTGTCTCAGGATCCTGAACTCGACCATCTCATGGTCACTGCCTCCCAGGTTCCCATCCACCTTTGCTTCCCCTACTAATTCTTCCTGGTTTGTGAGCAGCAGGTCTAGAAGAGCTCTGCCCCTAGTTGGTTCCTCCAGCACTTGCACCAGGAAATTGTCCCCTACACTTTCCAAAAACTTCCTGGATTGTCTGTAGTATACTTAGACTTTTATAAAGTTTTGACTTAATACCGTGTGGCATTTTGAAGAAAAGCTAGAATATAAAATTAACATGGCAAACATTCAATGGATTAAAAGCTGGCTAATCAATGAGTCTCAAAATATAACTGTACATGGGGAATCATCACTGAGAAGATGTGTTTCTAGTAGGGTTTTGTGGAGATCAGTTCTTGGCTCTATGCTATTGAACATTTTTATAAGTGACCTGCGAGACGACATAAAATCATCACTGACAAAATTTGCAGATAACACAAAAATTGAGGGAGTGGTAAATAATGAAGAGGACAGGTCACTGATACAGAGCAATCTGGATTGCTTGGTAAACTGTATGATGGGGGACTCTACCCTGGGAAGCAGTGACTCTGAAAAAGATTTGGGTATCATGGTGGATAATCAACTGAGCATCACCTCCCAGTATGATGCTGAGGCCAAAAGAGTTAATGCGATCCAGGATGCATAAACTGGGGAATCTCGATTTGAAATGGAGAGGTTATATTGCCTCTGATATTTGGCACTGGTGCGACCGCTGCTGGAATACTGTGTCCAGTTTTGGCGTTCACAATTCAATTTTATGTTGATAAATTGGAGAGGGTTCTGAGAAGAGCCATGAGAATTATTAAAGGATTAGAAAACATGTCTTATATAGTGATTGATTCTATCTATTTAACTTAAGAAAGAGAAGGTTATGGGATGACTTGATTGCAATCTATAAGTACCTATATGGGGGGGAAATATTTAATAATAGGCTCTTCTGTCTAACAGAGAAAAGTGTAACACAATCCAATGGCTGGAAGCTGAAGTGAGACAAATTCAGGCTGGAAATAAGGTGTACATTTTTAACAGTGAGAGTAATTAACCATTGGAACAATTTACCAAGATGTGACGGGGTGGACTAGGCCCACAGGCCCCCAGCTAGAGGCCTCGGGGTCTTGCCACACTTGTCCCAGGTAAGGAGCAGTGGAGAGGTCCTCAAAGCAGGCTAGAGTGGCTGCAGGGGAAGCAGCCAATCAGGGCCCAGGAGGGCCCTAGAAAAAGGAGCTACAGAGCAGTCAGAGACAGAGTAGTTCCTTGCTAGAGTTGGAGGAGTGTGGATGGCTGAGGGAACTGCAGCACAATGGACAGCCCAGTGCTAATAGGGACTGGGGAAGCAAGGAAGAGCTCCTGGCTGACTATTGGTCCTGAGCTTAGAAGAGCCCTGAACTAAGGGTAAGGCATTGGTGAAGGCTGCCCTCCCGCCACAGGCCACTGGGGAAGGGCCTACAATTGGATATCAGTAAACCACCAGAAGGGGACTGAACTCTCAAGAGGCCCAACTGAAGACTAGGGCCAAAACAGACTAAGACGGCAAAACCATTGCCTCCAGGGAGGAAGCCCTGGGGGTATGGCCTAATGGCAGAGTTGGGATTGGTTTAAAGACTGCGGACACAGTCAACCACGGGGGGTGCTCATGAGAGGTAGGTGCTGACCCCATTACACAAGGGTTGTGATGGATTCTTCACCACTGGTCATCTTAAATCAAGAAAGATCTTATGCTTTTCTAAAAGATCTGCTCTAGGAATTGTTTTGGAGAATTTTTATGGCCTGTCTTATACATGAGGTCAGACTAGATGATCACAATGGTCCCTTCCGGCCTTGGAATCTATGGAGCTGTATTGTAAACCAGGCTCCAGGTCATCTGGACCATTTGTACTGAGCCACCATCTTCAGCAGGCTCTGAAAATGGTTTAGGCCACCTGTAGCATGATTCACACTGCAGTTCCAAGGGGCTTTACAATCACATTAGCTAACCTGCGTTTCAAGTCGGTTAGAATTCTGTGGACATGTTTCCCACCCAGACCAGGCCACTGGTTTACAGGGCTTGGGGTGGAAATTTTCAGGTGATGCTCTTCTGTGTTTTCTCTAGGAAAAAATTCCCCTTGGAAGTTGGAATCTTTGCCTCACTCTTCACCATCTTAGGGATCATATGAGAGGGAGACATTTGAAACACACATTCCCCACCTCCCACTGAAACAATCTTTGCTGAACGCAGAGTTGTTGCCACAACCTCCGGCAGAGAGAAGGTTGGGAAGCAAAGGCCTATGTTGTTCCAGATGGGAAGCAGTTGCCACTAATATTCTCTGCCAGCTCTGTCCAGCTGGTTGGTTCAGCAGAAAATCCATTTGTCTGAATTGGTCGCCTGAATCTCCCAATTTAGATTGTGTTTAAAAAGTCACTATGAATAGCCTGGCTTTAAGAATGGTTACCATTTTCAATTCCATTAGAGGGGGGCAGTAAGCTGTAAATATTCTCCTGCGGTAACTCAAAATCCACAGCATCTGGCTAGTGCATGAGAAGAAAATCTGCAATCTACCTACATCTTCCGGATTCGTGTCACCTTGGTATCTGAGCTCCTCACAAGCAGTTAGGGATTTATTCTCACAACAACTCCAGGAGGTAGAGATGTATCATTATTCCCACTTGAATTTAAAATACACACACATATAAGGAATTGGGCAGAGAAATTAAGTCACTCGCCCCAGGTCTACAGAGAGTCTGTTGCAAAGCAGTGAATGGAATCGTCAGAAGTCTCTGGCTAGCCCTCTGCTTTAACCACAGACCTCTTTAGTGAAATGGATCGATTTAGGTGCCTTGTCCGAGCTGAACAAAATGTAAAAAACAAAACAGCATCAGTGGTGGAAACTATACAAGATATTCTCACTTCTTTACATCTGAACAACGCAAGATATTATTAGTAACACAGGTATGGAATAATTAAATACAATGACCTCAATGGTCCCTTAAAATGCAGATTAGATAGATTAAATATTCTGGGGCAGATCATCACATGGTGTTAATTGGCATCACTCCTATTGAAGTCAATGGAGCAACCATGATTTACGCCAGCTATGGATCCGGCCCCAGCATATTTAATTTTAGTGGCTTGTGTTCACTTGAGGGAAATCAGCAGCACCTTAAAAGGCTCATGTGTGGTACGGTTAACCCATGGAGCTTCCCTTTAAGCACTGCGGGAGCCAGTCTTTATCACACAAGGTGGTAATGGTGTGGAAATTGGATTAGCTCTCATTTCCCCAGCAGTTTTCTGAAAAACCCATCCATCTGATTGTCATCCACACATCAATTACAGAACAGCAAGCATCACACAAGTAGGACATAATTCTGTCTCAATGCAGGCTGTGAAAAATCTTGAAAGGTATCTGTCCTTTTTAATAGAATAGGAGCATAAGAGTAGAGGGGGAGGGAGGAAATGAGACCATGATGTGACAGAGGAGAGAGTCCCTTTATGGAATGTGCATACTCCCTGTAATTGTTGTCCAGCACATAGATGATATGAGGATAGGTGCCATGTGTGGGTGGGTGTGAAGGAGAGATCCAATTACAGAAAATGTCAGTGTTTGACAGCAACAGAGTCTTTTATAAAAGTGACATGCTTCCAACACTGGAAAAAGGGAAAAGAAAATTACCTCTCCTAATCATGTCAGAGGGATTATCTATTGGGATACATCGAAGAGTAACTGCAGGAAAGATCAAAGTGATTTATAGACATTAATTAAAGCATCACAAACAACCCTGTGAATTCCACGTTTCTATGGGGCATTCAGCAGAGATCATCTGTTGGAGTCTAGCAGGCGTAGCCTATACCAGAGGCAATAGGTGCCATGGACGGAGGGAAGAAGGTCTGGTGGCCTTCAGTCCCTCATGTCTTTTTCTTGCACTCCTCTGCTCCTGAGAGATGCAGAGAAGCAGACTTTAAGAGAGAGGTGTATGAGGTCAGAAACAAGCTTCCTCCTTTGTGGTATAATAATGCAAAGTCAGAGGCATTATGGGGAGTTTAAGCCTTCCTCTGAAACATCTAGATTTGGCCGCTATCAGAAACACAGGATAATAGATCAGCAAGGTCATTGGGCTGATCTAATATCACAATCCTTTCCATAGTTATAAATAGGACACCATTTTTTGCACACAACATATCAGACTAACATCTAATCAGAAAGTGACCCTCTTAGGCAGGAACAAAACCGTACCAGGTACCGGCCAGACTCCTCAATTAAGTATTGCTAGTAGTGTGAGCAAGGAACTGAAAGACAAAGGGGATCTATGCAGTGCTTAATTTGCATCATGGATGAGCACCGGCGCCTCTAGGCTTGGAAGTTCATAGACCCAGCACCTCTGGGCTTGCCCCGTCAGTTATGAAAGTAAAAAAAATTTCTTGAGCCCTGGCACCTAATTGTTTGAGCCCAAAACCTCTTTCATTACAAAATTAAGCACTAGATCTATGCCTAGCTCTGCCTATGACTCATGGCCTGCATGACCATGGAGGGCGGGAGGACACTCAACTTAGCTGTACTGCAGTTTACCCATCTGTAAAATGGGCATAACAACACAGCTACCTCACAGGGTGTTGTGAGGCTGGTCTATGAAGCACTCTGAGATACTTTGATGAAAGATGCTCTAAGTGACATGGAGAAGACCATCCAGCCCAGTTATTTGCTTGCATTTTATTAGCTTGATCTCAAAATAGCTCCCTGCACAGGACAGGTCTTCTGCATTGCCTAGTCTAGTAGGGTGGCTATGTCTTGTGGCCAGTCTGAAGTTAGGCTACCATCATTCTCCAGCAATCCACCCCCTCCTCTCCGTTAACCGCTCTGTGCCTAGCCATGAAGAACAAGCCAGGGATGATCCATCACGGGAACTTACGGTGGTGCCCCTGAAAGGAAGGAACAGGTTCCTGCTCCTTACACCGCAGGCGGCGCGGTGGCTTGTTAACCAGGAGATTTCAGTCAGAGAAGCGCTGCGGGGCTGGCGCAGGGCCCCAGGGCAGCTCAGCGCCAGGAGGGCGGGCTACAGCAGAAAGCCACGTTCCAAGCCCACGAGAGAGCAACGAGCCTCCCCGGCGCTGGGGGCTGGTGCCACTGCACCCTGCAGGCCTGGCCGCTGTGCCGAGCCGGTCTCTCTCCCCGCCGGCCGGTGCTGAGCAGCCCGCGGCGGGCAGCAGCTGGCCCCGCGCCCGGCACGTGCGGGCAGCGCTCAGCCCGCGCTCCCCCGGGACCGGGCTGCGCTGCGATCGCACCTGCCGCGCGCGGGCCGAGCAGCGCCTCCCCCCGGCCCGCGCCCTCACCTGCCGCCTCCGGGAGGCTCCAGCCTGCGGGGCCGCCGCTCACTGGCACCGGGCTGTCATGCCGCCGCCGCTCTTCTCCTGCCCGGGAGCGGGCTGTGCGGGCCGGCCGTGCGGAGAACGATCCAGCATGCACCGCTCGGCGATGTCACTTCCTGAGCCCGCCGCCGGCCCCACGAGCCGGGCCGGTGCAGGGCGCTCGGGCTCAGCCGCGGCGGAGCAGCGGGTTACCAGGGCAGGGTGCTGTCTTGGCCCGGTTTCACTGCACAGCTACAATCATATTGTTCTCTGGACTTCAACCTGGTGACAACACAGGCCACTGAATCTGGTCCACAATTTGGTGTCACACACACACAGAGAG